CTGTGAATTCAGACCTTGTGTATATAATAAAACAGTTATTCCACTCACTCTCGTCGAATATGAGCGATAGCCGATTCGGCGCTACGCGCCTCATCGGCTATCAGCTCATATTCGACTCGAGTTCGTAGAATAACTGTTAAATATAGTATATATGGTAGTATATATACTATATACAGTTTGCATATATGCTGTTCAAGCAAAACAGATTGCTCTGACTAGAAGTCCAGCCAACGACCCTGTTCCATGCATTTTGAAATTTTACTTAATTTCAACTGTCAGGCAGAGTATGTTGATTATGCAACCTCCTCCGCAGGCCATACAGCCCGTAATGAGTATGCCCGTTCGCAGGTTTAAATTTGAAATTTGAGACGAAGGCTTGCAATTTTATTTTTTGAAAGGCCTGCGGAGGAGGTAGTTGATTATGTATTGATATTGGTTAAACTACAATATTTACTGTCGGTAATACATTGAATTATTTTCTTTCAGAAACATGATGCCCAACTGCATTCTAATGTACAGTCGTCTTCAGAACAAATCGACAACGAAGTTTTGATAAATTTAGTAAATGGTGCTGTTGGTTCTATTATGACACGCCTTCAAAGTATGTATAAACTCTCTTTTCCTGGGTCTAACGTATAGCAAGTGTGCAGCATATTCATATATAACAACTTGCATGTGATTACAAATTTACAAGATTTACAAATTTTTGAAATTAAATTTCCGATTGCCATTTGGTTTAAATGAATAATGTAACAAATTACAACTTACATTCAAACTTGACAACAAATTGCATTCATATTTTCTTTGGATTGTGAAAACCATCACGTTTATTTAAAAGACAGTAATGTTTTCCACAATGCAGAAACAAATTACATTCACTTCCCAACTTTTGGATATATCAGTCTAATTTCATTAGAGGGGAAGACACTAGATTAATGCGTGAAATCGTTGGGTAGTGAATGTAGTTTGTCCATGTATTGCAAACGTTTTGTTAAACCAGGTTAGTGCATCATTTTTGAAATGTTCTTATAATTAATCATGTCATTCTGTCCAAACCTCTTTTAGACTTGGCTGAATTTGAAGGAGCAGAAACGAAAGTGACAACGTTGGTAGGAGCTGCTATGAGTCCAGATAATCTATGTCGTATGGATCCTGCCTGGCATCCGTGGTTATGAAACTCTGGTATTCATTCCCACTGATACAGTGCAAACTCCTCCATGACTGCAAATCGTCGTACTTCGTGCCAGCCGTCAGTACATCTACTTCTGGTTGTAACGGACAGATTCTGACTTCATGAAGAACAGAACCATGTTGCATAAAAGTCAGTGTACACCCCCTGTAACGGTGTGATGCATATATAACATTGAGAACAAAACTGAAGATGTTCTATTGGAGTAGCTGACAGTTACGTTAAGTGTTCCTGTCAACTTAAACAATCACAGATACCTAATCAATAATGCTCTATATTAAAGCCTAACCAAGGTTAATTACTCGTGAGATCTATAGATTGTTTGGAAAATTATTGGAACGTACCATTATATACATTTCAGTCTTTAAATTCTTTTGATTTGATTCAGTCTTTCACAATGTTTAAATTTTGGTCAGTTCTCAATAAAATTAAGTCGAGGTTATGCGTACACAATCAAATAATTCTGCAAATTGTCTATTTTTACTTGGTTGTAACGGTTATTCACCTCACTGCTGTGACGTATGGAGCGGGAATCATACCTATGCCTTCATATATAATATATTGTTGTATTATATTATTATTCAAAGATCTTGTAACATAATTTGTACATCGCCATATTTTTTTCTTTTTTAACGTAATTGTAATTTTATCAATAAACTGTAAATTAAAAATTGCGTCTCACATTCGTGCATCTTTTTATTAATATTCCTTTCGAGAACTTCACCAGCTAATAAATCGAAATTGGGAAAAGAAAGAAAAAACACAATAAACAAATTGGAGAAGCTTGTTTACATAACATACAGTTTATGTTGCTATCAAATTACTTAATTCTACATAATCACGTTGTTTAACCTTGCATAACCAATGGCCTATCGAAGGGGAGATGGCTGTGAAACTCATTAGAATAACAATATAACTCATCTATGTTAGTCGACGTTTATTCATAAATCAGGTCCTTTCACCGTCACGTGTGTATTGTATTTTTACCAAATCCACCAATAGCAATTTCTAGTTTCCTTATTGTTCGAGTCACGGATAGGTGACTTTCCTAAAACATTGCTATTGGTTAGTTGGGTAAAAATACAATACACACGTGACGGTGGAGGAACAGATTTATGAATAAACGTTGACCAACATAGATAATGAGTTATATTGTTATTCTAATGAGTTTCACAGCCATCTCCCCTTCGATAGGATATGCATAACCGAAGAGATGATCTTTGCGTTATTAAGAATACCAGACATAAACTGAGTCTGAGTAGAGAAAAGGAAATAAGACAATAACAAAAAGTAAAACTTTCTGCAAAACTGAACGCTTTTTTTGTCTTGTTTTCGCAATTGATAAATTTAATAATCATTTTAACTATGATATTAGAGATAATTATTACATAATATTAGTAAATAATTTTTGAGTATCCGTTTATACTGCCTGAGACTGAGTGATAATTAAACTCGATACACAATGTAATTCAGGGTGGTAGTGATATTTACTTGAATTACGTAAATTCACTGAATATGAGGGCACCTATGAAACAGGAAATGTGAGTACTATTTGAAATTGCCTTTAGCTTATTTATATTATATATATTTAATATTTTTTACCTATTTTTTGAAAGTGAAAAATGAAAATTGAAAAATCACCGAGAAACTATAATTAAGCATACATGAAGTACTTCCCTGTAAATTTTAATCATGGCGTCTTCAAATGATGTTTTACAAAGTGCGATGAAATCAGCGTCGTATAATGTCCTCCTACAAATTTCACTGCGGGTTGTTACTTTTCTTATGAATGCTTTCATTTTGAGGTTTATATCTCGTGAAACCCTTGGCCTTGTGAACGTCAGATTGACCTTGCTTTATACGACTATTTTATTCTTGGCTCGGGAAGCGTTCAGGAAAACGTGTTTGAGTCATTCTGCAAAAAGCAAGGAAACAAAATGGGATCAAATTATTAACCTTGTATGGCTTACCGTGCCTTTGGGAGTTCTTGCCTCTATTATTTTTGGATTTATTTGGTTGAACTGGCTGGAAACGCCGCCAGTTGGGCTAGCTAAAGATTATTCTATCAGTGTTTTGTGTTTTGCATTTTGTGCTGTACTGGAATTAATGGCTGAACCTCTTTGGATTGTGTTTCAATGCCATTTGTTTGTACGTCTCAAAGTGGTAATTGAAGGCTTAGCTGTGCTGTTCCGTTGTATAACAGCAGTCCTACTTGTGTATTTCATTCCATCATTGGGCCTCCTTGCATTCTGCTTTGCTCAGCTTATGCAGTCATTAACATATTTTTTACTGTACTATGTTTACTTTTCTCACTTCATTGCTGTTAATACACCAAAAAATGACAAAGAATTTCCATTACAAACATTTAACCACATTTTGCCCACACGTCAATCAGTGAATAATCCATTGGTGAATTTTGAATTGCTCTCATTGACCTGGAGTTTTTTCAAGCAATCTTTACTGAAGCAAATCCTTACTGAAGGGGAACGATATGTAATGACTTTTTTCAATGCATTAACCCTTGCCCAGCAAGGTGTTTATGATGTGATCAATAACCTTGGATCACTAGCAGCGAGATTTATATTCCTCCCTGTGGAAGAGAGTTATTATCTATTTTTCAGTCAGACACTGGTCCGAGATAAACCTGCATCTAAGCAACCCCAAGAAAATTTGTATCTTGCAGCAGTCACTTTGGAGTCTGTATTGAAATTTGTTTTGTTGATTGGGATGACAATTGTCATATTTGGTTATTCATATTCATTACTTGCCTTGGATATTTATGGAGGCTCAATTTTGAGTTTAGGAGAAGGTATGAACATCACAATTATATAAAGACTGGACTAATGTAATGAGAATAACAAAATAGAGTGCAAAAGGTGCATTGTGGATAAGGTATATTGTGGCTAAATCATTAAATGGGTTATGAAAATATAAATGTCCAATGCATATTAACCCCCCCCCCCCCAATTCAGACCATTTGGATACACTGTAGAGTTGAGTAAATTATGGGTCAATGGAAAACCATTATTTTTAAATAATATCTTAAAAGAGATGTATATACAGAATTTCTTAAGGATTATAATATTATGTATTAATTAAACACCTCTCTGTATTAGGCTCTGAATTGGGTCGTTCCAGAAAAGATCCATACTCCCCCCACGGAGGAAATTTCTGCCGTCCAGAGGGGGAGGGGAGAAAAAAAATTGTTTCTGATAATAGTAAATGTATTAGGACATCCAAAGGGGTAGGGTGGTTAACTTCCTATTTCCTTCGTGGGGGTGGTATGGATGTTTTCTGGAATGACCCATTTCTTAAGAATTTTGATACATGTTCTTAATAAAAGAGAATTGATTATAAATACATTTTCAGGTCCAACACAATTAAGGTGGCATTGTTTCTACATACTTATAATTGCTGTGAATGGGATAACAGAATGCTTTATGTTTGCAACCATGAGTCAAACAGCTGTTGATAAATACAATCAAAAGATGGTGGTATTTTCAATCATTTTTCTCTTGTCATCATGGTTTCTTACACACTTTGGAGCTGTTGGTTTTATTTTTGCAAACTGTTTGAATATGATACTACGAATAATTCACAGGTTGGTTTCTTTCTTGTTTAATTTATTATATCATTGACAGTATTGCTATCAGTGGCGGACACTGGGGGGGGGGGGGCGGGCAGGGGCGGGCTCCCCAATAATTTTGAAAGACTGTAAAAATCTTGTATCACACTCATATAATGTAATTGTCATATTAAATAATAACTATTTGATAAAACTTAAGCTAAAAAACTATGCAATATACCAAACAATATACTAATATATTTTTTTCTGTACTGTACATGTCACAACATACACATTTTATACATTATTTTTGATGAACACTAGGGGGTCAACTTTTTGCAACAGACACTTCTTTTAAATGTCATTGTCGATTTTTTGTTGTTTTTGAAGCTTATACTATTGTTTAGCGGTGAAATTTCCTGCTCCATGATAATATTTGAATGCGTATTATTAAACTATTATGCTGAAAAACAATGGATTATGGATAATTCAATTGACATTCCAATTTGTGATTTTATGTTAACGAAACAAAAGCGTGCACAGCAAATAGATTTCATGGATCCAGATTTCTGGGATCCAAATTTTAAAAATTTTCCGGGGGTCATGCTCCGAACCCCCCTGGAATTCTTGTGCCTTTGAGCCCCCCCCCCCCAACATTTCATAGATTTTTTGTTGTTTTTGAAGCTTATACTATTGATTAGTGTCGAAATTTCCTGCTGCACAATAATATTTCAATTAACATTCCAATTTTATGTTAACAAAAACAAAATGTGCGCAGCGATTAAAGTCACTTAGCGAATAAATTTTAATTTTTACATTGTCATTGGCGTGTTAATTAAATTAAACCACCTCTCAATTCCATTCACAAGTGTAAATATTTTCTCTGAAATGTTGGTTTTCTATGCTTAGCATGTGATTTATAACAAAACGCACCATTAAAACAGTGTTTTGAAAATCTAGTTTTTTACAAAATGTGTTCTCAGAATGCTGGAAATGCCATTTCCGGGGTAGAAATTTTACCTAATCAATGTTGTGTATGACATCCAAACCAAAAATTTTACTTTAATTTATTTACTTTAAAGATAGGGTACAGTACAAGTCCGGTCTGCGCATGCTCACATAGGAGTCTCCTGCTGTGATATAAACACTTTAATTAGTTTCTTGCAAAGCCTGATTGTTGTATCTTGATCATTTATTATGTCTATTATATTGTAGAAGCATGAAAATATAAATAGTTGTCGAATAAACAAGGCTTTGTTTACATATGGACTGTACCCTACCTTTAATTTTTACTATAAAAGACCCCTAAGTCTGAGATTTGTAATGCATCATTCCAAAGTCCCAAACTGAAACAAACGTGTGTCAACTATGAAAAAGCTTTATAGCTGTTCTACTCTGCTTTCGTATTTATATACGAAAACAGAGTAGAACACCACACATTCTCTTTTAGTTCTAATAATCAGCTGAGTTGTTGAGGAGCTCACATCTTGTGGGTTGTACCAGTCCTAGACCAATGCTCATTCTCATATTTTATTTGATAGGCATGATTGAATAAATAACTTCTTGCAGCAATATGTTGTTCATGTTAATTCTTTCCAATATAAATATACAGTTTGTCATCAAAGTCTTTGCATATCTGTGACGTCGCATCGCTTTACTTAATAAGCTGGCTCTAGGCTTTACTAAGTTAAAGCGCTTATCCGTATATAGACAGATCAATGAGATAAAGTCTAAGAATTTATTTCAATATTTCTCATATGCATATCAGTAAATAAAGATTAACTGTTCTTGGATGGTCATGGTTAGCCAGAAGGTTCTCGTATCGTCCACCCTATTGTTCTTGCTCGAATAGTGAGATTTGTCTAAATCAACGGGTTAGTGAGGTTCAGATTTGACTGTACCGCTACAATTAAGGGACCATTAGCCAATCAGATGCGTTTGATATATCCGATCAACCAATCAATAGTGGAAGTAAAATATGAACCTCTATAATAATGGGGCGGAAGATACGAGAACCTCTGGCAACCAGGGTAGGTGAGCCAATAAAGAAAATGTACGGACATAATGAAACAAATCATGTAAATAATTAACTGCAAAATACGTTACTCCACAGTTTCAATGCAATGATCATTGTCCGTGATATACTGTACACTGAAAAAAAATATCGTGTATATATATATATATATATATATAACATATATATATAGCAACATATACCATTTTTAAGATTAAATAAATAATATATATATATATATATATATTAATACCGTACAGACAGTTATGCTAAAACCGTTTCTGTTTATTTTTACTTTTAGTATAATTTATATCAAAGAATATTTTCACGATACCAAACTAACACCATTACAAGGACTTCTACCATCTAAACCAGTGATCGTGGCTTATGTCCTGGCGTATATTCTAACATCAAGCTCAGAAGCAATGTTTTGTTGTTCGTATGGATGGTTTTGGCGAGTGTGTCACATAGCGAATGGTGGGTTGTGCCTCTCAGCCGTTGCTTTGACAATATACTTAACTGAAGAAAATCTTTTGCAATTTGTAAAGAAACAACTATTTCCTAAACTTCGCACGAAAATGGAATAATAAAAGTTATCTTGGTTTGGTGACTTTCTCACAGTCAGCCGTTTGTGTTTACTAGCCAATGTTCAAACAATTTGACTGAAGAAATTCTTGTACACTTTGTAAATACACAATTAGATAGATTTTACCTTATTTTTAAGGAAAATGGTTCGAAAATTTCTTTCCTCCCCCCACGCCCCCCCCCCCCCCCCCCCCACTGACTTGTATCAGTGTATGTGTAAATACAGTATAGTTTTGTGTTTGTGTGTATAATGAGTAGTGTATCTTCGACCTGTATAAATGTAACTTAATTTATTTTTCCTGGCTTCCTAACTTTTTTAGCTTTTTAGTTATTTTAGGAAGCCAGTACCTCTACACTTTAGAATATTATGTTAAAATTATTTTGTAACTATTTATATGTAGGTAAATAAAATGTTGTCGTTCTGTTCTATTTACTATTATAAATTAAAGAGTATTGTCATTGAATGGCATATATAGATAGATAGATAGATAGATAGATAGATAGATAGATAGATAGATAGATAGATAGATAGATAGATAGATAGATAGATAGATAGATAGATAGATAGATAGATAGATAGATAGATAGATAGATAGATAGATAAACTTTATTTAAATACGCTGACCCCGTCAACCGAAGCTGATTTCCACGAGGGGCGTGCGAAAAGTATACAGAAAAGAATTTTAAAACTATTTACAAAATTATATAAGATATATAGTATTATATGAACTAACAAACTAAGGTAATAATCTATATACAGGTAATATTAACATCTATGTTTTTAGTTAGCTATCAATCAATGTGAGTAGCGATTTTCTTTCGAAAGGAAGAAAAGGATTTGCTCTCTCTTATTTCTTTAGGAATAGAATTCCAAAGGTGTGCTCCGTCACACACGAAACTTTTTTCATATTATTAGTACGTGGTTGTGGTAAACAAAGACTACTTGAAATGTTCCGAAGTTTGTAGTTTGTCACCTCACCCTTATATGTGAAGAGATTACTGAGTGATTTGGGTCCCATTTTATTCAATAATTTGTACATGATTTTTGCTTTACTTTTCTTCCTTTCTGTTTTAAGTGGCTTCCAACCCAATGCTTGTAATGCAATTACAGAATGATCTATGTCATTGCTCATATTCAAAATAATCCGAGCAGCTCTGTTTTGTAGTTTTTGGAGTCTCTTTTGATTGCGTTTCTCCAAACACATCCCATACTTCACAGCAGCAATCAAAATATGGGCGAACAATAGCATTATATACAGAAAGAAGTGTTTGCTTAGCAGCAAATTCTTTTAAACGCCTAAGAGCCGATATTACGGATGTTATTTTCTTGCAAATATTCTCAGTGTTAGTTTTCCAAGATAAATGCTGGTCAATTGTCACTCCAAGAGTTTTGGATTCATAAACTTGTTTAATTGAATCGTTTTCAATGTTCACATTTAGTTGCAAATTTGAAATATTTTTTATCATTTGTTTTGAACCAATTAACATAAACTCAGTCTTAGTAGCCTACAGTCTTAGCAACATTTAGACTAAGTTTATTGGCATTTAGCCATTCCCTAAGTTTTTCCAAATCAGAATTCACTGCAGTTTCAAGATCAGTAATAGAGTCTACAGAAACTGTCAGGTTCGTATCGTCAGCAAACAACCGAGGTTTTGTTTTACCCAGGCATTGAGGCAAATCGTTAATATATAACAGAAAAAATAGGGGCCCTAAAATAGAGCCTTGTGGTACGCCACATTTGATCAATTTCTCTGATGAAACAGATCCTTGTATTTGGCATTTTTGGTTTCTATTTGAGAGATACGATTCTAGAAAAGACAGAGCTTGTCCTTTTATTCCATAAAGCTCTAATTTTTTTCAATAATATTTGATTATCAACAGTATCAAATGCTTTTTTTTTAAGTCAATTATAGGTTAAACATTTTGCGGTCTAAATTCATATACCAATCATTTATACAGTCCAGCAATGCTGTAGCTGTAGAGCGAAATTTACGAAAACCGAATTGTCAATCTCTCAGAAATTCAAATTTAGTTAAATAATTGTATAGCTGATCGTACAGAATTCGCTCCATAATTTTGCTGATGACAGGCGGAACTGAAATTGGTCTGTAATTTCCTGACAGGTTTTGTTGGCCATTTTTATAGAGAGGTATTACTCTAGTCGTTTTCCATTCGTGAGGGAAAAGGGATAGGGTAATAGCTTGAACGAAAATGTATGTGAGTGCAGAATCTGAAATAGCAGGTGCAGCTATTTTAATAATTTTACTGGAGATCTTATCAACGCCAGTGGCTTTGTTGCTAGAAAGACCATGCAAAAGATGGTAGACATTGCTGACAGTGACTGGCTGGAATGCACTGAATTTAGCCTTTTCAATATATGTTTGAAAGTTCAAATTTGGAGTATCAATTTTGCTAGCTAGATCAGGGCCAATATTTGACAAAAATAATCATTAAAGCCCTCCGCAATATCTTTGGTATTTGTCAAACTATTTTCACCTAATTTTAACTCATTTACTACTGTTGGTTTGCTTTGCCTACCTAGTATATCGTTTATAGCTTTCCCTGCCTGTTTAGGATTGCATTTTTGATCAGAAATTTTAGTGGAGTAATAATTTTTTTAGCATTTCTTAGCTGAATATTAACTTTGTTTCTCGTTGTTTTATAATTTAACCAATCTATCTCTAGGTTTGTAATAATGGCATTTCTTTTTAATCTGTCCCTTGTGATTATAAGTTGCTTTATAGCTCTTGTAATCCAAGGAACTTTCTTGTTCTAATCTTTTTATGTTGAAGTGGTGCATGGTTATCCAAGACCTCTAAGAATAATTCCTTCCAAATATATGCCAAGTAATATTGCAAAATTGTTATGATATTGCATATTTATAATATAGCATTTGTAAATTCGCACGACCACATCAACTCTGCTGTTATACAGTTATAACAACACTCGTGGTAATTGGGAAAGCTCGAAATTGTCTGAAAACCTGAAAACACTCCGCCCTCTGGGCGTCGTATTTCCAAACAATTTCTCGTATCGTGCAATTTCCACTCGTATTGATATTTAACAATTATTCGCCGAAGGCGAGGTAATTATCGGGGAATATCCACCGAGACTAAGTCGAGGTGAATATTCCCCGATAATCACCAAACCTGAGGCGAATAATTGTTTTAGTATTTTTACACAAGTCTTTTGTGTTTTTGGGCCTGAATTTGCTTTAATTTCGTTTATTTCTTTATCAGTAACTTCCACAAAACGGCTAGCCGCCATTTTGAAAATTTCGGTTTTGTTATATTCACCTCTAGGTCTCTGCCTCTAGGTGAATATAACAGCTTAATGCGTCAAATTTGACCAATCAACGTGTAGGATTTGTTTGTTCACTTGTGCAAAAATACTAAAACTGTATATCAACACGGAAAATGTTTTATATTTGTTAAATACCAAGTGGTATTGTAAAATTATTATAATGCTGTTTACAGTTACAGTTGAAGCCTTATTTCAATCTTAAATCTCTGCAAATTTAGTAAGGTAGTAAGTAGACTAATGGTTCGCAACGACTGGTAGGTAAAATAATAAATATGTAACTTTTTAAGTTACTACGTTTATTATTAGCATGACAAAATTACTGGATGCTGATTGGTTGAGAGGAGTACAATTATTTCATTAATTGTACTGCAGTACAATTAATGATTTTCCCACAACAAACAAAATGGCGGAAAGGTATTTTAAACACAAGCGTGAAATGAAATTGCCCTAGAGGAACTAGATGAAAATACGAACAAAAGCCCAAATTGTGCTTTAACAAAAGAACTAAATGAAAATACGGACAGAAGCACCAAAGTTTGGTTGAAAATCTGGCAGGACTGGGCTTTGGCGAGAGAATATATGATCTTAACATTGAGAAGTATCCAATTTTGTCATGCTAATAATAAACAAGTAATCATGCGATGTTGCTCGTACAATTATGGATTAATAGTACTCGTGATGTTTGGAAATTTGCCAAATTGGACTCGCCCCGGCGGCTCGTCCAATTTTGGCAAAATTTCCAAACATCACTCGTACTATTAATCCCTAATTGTACTCGCCATCGCATGATTACCTATACTAATTTTCACCAAGACATTTACCTCATTTTACATGATTTTACAAGTATATGCAGTAATTGTACCCATGGCCATTTTGATTCAGGGATCGGAATCAATATGAACCATATCCGTCCCAAGATTCTGCAGGCGAATAACGAGGCGAATAATCATCATCATAGTCATCATAGTCATCATAGTAATCATAGTACTCAACGGCATTCCTCGTTGTCGTTCCTGTTGTCGTCATATCCAGTTTATCTACTTCTTCCGGGTTTGCTATGGAGGAAATTCTCTTTCTTAGCACATGCGAAGACTTCACAATGTACCGTAACTGCATACACACCTGGCTCATGATTGCCAGACTCTGGCCATCGAGGAAGTCTAGAACCAAAAAAATCACCTCAACAGGCAATTGTAAAAATCGAGGGTGGAGGTGGTTCTTTTGAAGAACTTCCTGGATAAATTGCATCTGATTAATTGGTAAGGTTTTCCATCCCTTGCACCAAGTTTGCTTGAAGTTGTCACTTGGTTCATAGCCGTCTAACGCAGGAGATGTCGGGCAGATGTAGTCTAGAACTGGTAAACGAAGAAAATTTTCATTCCTCTGATTGTAAACTGGCGAACGATTCACATCTTCATACCATGAAATTGGAAATGCAGATACATCAAAATAACGATCAAGTTTTCGCGCAAGCTTCACAAAGTCAGTTGTTACAGTACCCTCCTCAATGTGTTTGTCGTCGCAATCTTGTCTTGTCAAATCACTCGCTATAATGTTGTTGTCATCTAAGCAGAGTTTTTCGCTTTGTTCACGTAGCTTAAATGATCCTTCTTCACTTGTACTGTCTTCCGAATCTTCAGACTGATCAGATACTAGGAGATCGAACGCGTCATCCCAAACGCCGTACATTTTCCCCCCAGTTTCTCCAGCAACATTTCGTGATTTCATACGCAACATAATCAGATGTTCTTCGACGTGTTTAACTGTTTCTATGAATTTCCTCCCGAGTGCTCGTATAATGCGGTTAATCTCAACACGAAAGTGGTTAGGTAGGTTTCCCAGAATTTCTTTAATTTTGTCAAGCCTTACCAGCAACCAAACAATTTGTGGGTGAACAAGATTGGTAACTTGCCGAACTTCTTTCCACCAGCTGTAAACAATCTTCTGTCTTCTTCCGTCCTTGAACTTCACAACCCATCCTTCTTGTTGCTTTTTTACTGGCAATGCACCTGAGACAAATGGAGGACGGTTTGGAGTCGTTGATTCTTGCATGTTGAGATCAATTCCAGCACAATACCACAGTATCTCTGAATAAGGAGCAGCGATCCGTGGTGTCACCATGAAGAACCCGATGGTTCTAGCACTATGCAATACATCATCATAAGGTAACTCGTGACCGCTTTCATCAGTGATAGCAAGCAAGACAAGACCTTCAAACAGATAGTTCACAATCACCGTATTGTTCTGGGAGATAATTTCAAACAGATATGTATATCCTGTTTGGAACCTGGTCAGATTACAGTGATCTTTGATCCATTGTTTTGCCCACATCGCTTGCTCTGAATCCATTCTTCGTCTGGTTGTCACTATAACTTCACCATTCCACAAGAATGCAAGTCCAAGTGATCCATCATATTTAACGGTAGCTTCCACAATTTCGTTGGGATCATACTCATCTACATCTACGTTAAACAAAGTGGAAAGGTAATTTCATTTATTTTTTAAAAACTAAAAAAAGGTAATTTTTCCCGCTGTTTTAATTAACTTGGAAACTCAAATTCTTAAAATTGTAAATTTGTAATCTTTGAGCCACTTGCAAAATTATACCTTAGACCAACCAACAGGCAAGCTTTCGAACCAAAAGCTGAGATCGTCTTTTGTGCTTACGACATTAATGCGTACATACGAACCATACGCTGGGAGGAAAGGGTTAACGCTGATGTGCGCTTGTGAAAATGTTGATAATCATGGACGGCCCGGGCCGTCCCTAAATATAATAAAATTTATATGAATAACGGCTTATTGACCGAGCGTGAGGTCTGTACTGTGAAATATCAGACCGAGGTTTTTTAGTATGGACCGAGCGACGAAGGAGCAAGGTCCATGCAAAAAACAGAGGTCTGGTATTTCACAGTACAGACCGAACAAGCGAGGTCAATAATCGGTTTATTATATGGCTGAACTGAGTCTGTGAGCATATGCTTTTCGCGCGAATTAAATCGGCTATCGTCAGTTTCACTGGGTAACAATATACGGTAGGCATGCATGCTCAATCAAAAACAATTTGGTTGTTTGAAATTTTTATCTGTAAATTTTAATGACACACAATTGGAAAATTAAAAAGCAAAAATTTTTTCTGTTTGCAAAGCAAAAATTTCCCGCCAGATAAACGACATCCGGGACACCGGTCCAGATACGGAAAATACGGACCATGGTCCGGATATGGGTTTTTACGGACCGCTTGTCAACCAATCAGAATAGAGAATTTTGAAAAGCCATATAATAATACTTATTATTAAACTATTCTATTATTCAGATTGTGATTTAATTTATACTTTTGGTAAAAAAGGGCGAAATGTATATGTATTGTATTGTACCATAAATGTACAAGTAAAATTGAAATGAGCTTTTGGTCGAATTCGAAGGTTTTACCAAATAAATTAACTTGGTGTTTTTCACAAACACAAAACAATCACATTGATCATAACATTTGGGTTGAATTGCCACTCAATTTAAACAAGAAAAAATATATACTTCTCAACGTTTGCTAGGTCGCTTTGTCAAAAAAGATAATAAAACGCTGGGCCCCCTTATAGTTTCAAATTACATCGAAAACCTTCATTAAATAGAGAATAATACATGGGTGCGCGGAAATACCAGATTTATTTCTAGTGTTGAACATGATATCTCACAAGTGAGCGCAGCGAACGAGTGAGATATCATGTTCAACACGAGAAATAAATCTGGTATTTCCAAGCACCCATGTATTTTTCTGTTTATTATATAAAGGATAGTCTTTGAAAAGCCATAATTTTCACATGTGAGATTATCTATATATCATAAATAATCTCACATGTGAGATTATCACTTTTATCAGTGTTCGAAGTACTCTATAAAGTACTATACTTTATATAATAAAAGAAACTAAAGTCAGCTAAAAAATTCTAAGTCTTCTAAATGCAGTAAGTAAGGTTAGACATACTGTATATTTCAAACTACATGTTTATGGGCAATAAAGCTAAATGTAATTTTATAATTACCTTCAAAGAATCAAACAAATGGCTTTGTCACAATAGTCTTTGAATCAGGATGTAAAACCATTCCTCTGCAGAGAGAAACTAATGGATTTTTAACAGAAGTAGAATAATTGAAGATTTCTAATTTAGTCCCAGAATCTAGTGTCTTTTCAATATAACCAAGATCGACTAGTTCTGTGATCTTAGTATACAATTCTTCAAATGAATAACCAACTGATGGATGACTCACGGATGGCGCAGTTGTGTTTGTTGTGTGTTCCAGCTCGTCAACATTTCCCTTGATTCCAGTGAGATCTGCAATAAGGTGTTCCTCAGTATACGGTTGTTGGCACATCTTCTCCACATGGTCAATTGTCTCATCAGAATTTGGTCCTGATTTATCCTGGCGCACAAAAAGTGGATCCCACGCTTTATGTGACTGATTCCACTGACACTCCATTACTTCTCGACTTTCATTTAATGAATTCGAAAAATGCGCAATCGTGTTGTCAGACGGTGATCTAAAATCAAGGGGAAGATCAACTGCACACTTACGTTTACCAGATTTCAGATCTTGTACGAGAATATCGCAATGAGCGGAATCTTGACTTTGCCACTTAAACAACAAAGGATCTGGCCCAAACACATAAGCTGTACTTGGGGTAAAAATCAAACCATCACAAGCACATGGAAGTTGAGGTACAGCACCGAGAAACTTTAAGACTTCATCTGGAGTGGATGGCTTATGTTCCTTGAGCACACAATTAACCACTAGTTCGTTCAAGTTATTTTCTTCAGCATGAAAGGATTGTAATTTTTGGTCAGCTGAAGAATCGTCATCTGCAGATGCTAGCGTTTGCTTCATCACAGCTGCTATGTCCGTACTAATGGGAAGTCTACATAGACTTGCTTGTCTTACGGTGAATGGCCATTTCCATAAGACATCTCCTGAAATGGCAAGAACATCAAACACCAAAAGCACACTGGTATTCAGAAGTGTGCTGATCTTAGGATGAATTTCTGAGATTGATGTGGAATGCAATAATTCTCCGTCCAATACTGTATTGTCAGGTAATTTATCATTTGCAATACAACAAGGGTAAATCTCATTCTTCCTAGTTATTAGATAAGTTCCGTTCTGGATCTTCATCAACAGACAACGCACACCATCTGCCTTTGCAGTCACGTAGTACTTAGTTGGGTTTGTTACCCACTTGACATCACGATAGCAATGGACAAACGAAGCTGGAAGTGTAAACTGAAATTGGTTGACTTTCAAAATCGAGAGTAACTCAGCAAAGATGTCTTTGATCTTTACAGAGCTAGTTAGCAAGATTGATAGATTATTTAGGCTTGGTAAAACATGAACCTCTTTAGTAAACGGCCGTTCCAGAATATCTAGTAGTTCTAAACTATACCCCAGAACCATACGTGTTGCAGCCGACATAGTACAAAGTACATTTGATTTCTTGTAGAAGTTCATAAGATCGTTTGACTTTATATTCCAATTTCTTAGATAAGCGTGAGCTGAACCACGGAAAATATGCCTATCATCTCCTCATGTTATCCAGTTTTCATGTAACTTCTTTGGTCCAATATCATCAAATAACAATGCTCGAGTGATTTGAAGACCATGTTTCTTTGCTTCTGCGGCAACATATTATGCGTCTTCTAAATTTTTGACACAATCCAAAATTAGTATTTGGTGTGTTTCTGACCTTTTGAAATTTGCAATGGTTTCATTGATCAACTTGTGGCAGAAGTCTTTAATAACAGTCATATCGGCTTCCTGCCACACATTCATAACATTTTGCTTGCGAAGTTCAAGTCCAGTGGACAAAAACATAACTCCGTCTTCGTCTGCAAGACAACTGTCAAGTTGATTCTCGCCAAAGGTAGTTTTACCACTGCCGCTAGGACCAAGAAGAACAAGGATGTACTTATCTTTAATATGTTTTCTACCAGCCAAGAACGCCATTTTGACATTGGATATCTTTAATATATCACCAGAGATATAACACAATGGTATCTTTATATCACAAAAATGCTGTCATGGTGATGTAAGTATTTACATCACTCTTCAGAATAACAAGTACTGTTTACTGACGATCTGATACATATTCTTACATCAGAATTAAACCATAATATGACATAATATATGAAAATTGAATGGCAGCAATGAACTTGGAACACGGCATACAAAGAACATGACAGTAAGTTCCGGTGTCACAGTGATATGAGTATCCCCGTGTTTTGTGTATCCCCTACTAATATCACTAGGGATTTGTGTATCCCCATGCTCACCTCCATAGAGATTATAAACTAGAAGTTACTATCGCAAGGAAAGTGCTGCCTCACCACCCCCCCCCCCCCCCCC